TTTCTTGCTCTTGATTGTTGATGATAGTTAAGTCTAATTTTTTATAGTACTAATAGCAATGCAGTTAATAATTTATATTTAACTAAATAATGCACCAAAGAATATAGACTAATAACATGCAAAAAGTAGACAAATTCACTAATCTCTAAAAAATTTTCTGGCTTTCTAACTATGCAACAAGAGCTGTTACAAATTCATCCAAGCTAGTTGTTAACGATGTTGCTATTCTGAATGAAATTGACTTCTAACTGTTCAGAATATAACATTATAAAATATGTCATTTGATAGATGAAAACCTTGACTTTCTATTGGTTAAAGGTAATATATAATAAAATGTAAGAGAGAACTATCAATGAATTATGAAAGAGAGGATGTGACAGGTGGGTGTGGCAGGAGGGGGGCCGATTTTCTATTTGATAGCTCTATAACCAAACAAATTGGAAGACTATAAAAATTATGGTTTTTATAGAGAGTAATTTATGTTTAATTTCCTACTTTTTAAGGATAGGTTGATAAAATAGGGATGATGACATGCTAAGAGAAAATGTGTCACGTGGGTCACACTAGTGGAAATTCAGGAGTTTTTAAATATTGCCTTGTAGAATTAAGAACTTAAAACTTGTGTACTGTTAAAATATGGATTATTAGCTAAGATTTTATGCTATTCTAATTGGTATAGCATAAACACAAAGTAGTTTAATAAAACTTTAGTATAAAACACTAAAACCTTATGTCATGCACAGAAAAGGATACCCGGGGTGATAGGGTTAACACATACTGGATAAAAAAACAACAAATTTCTTCTCTGTAGAAAAAGCTATGTAAAGCTCCATCCAAACACCAACTTAAATATTCCTACCATAAACTATTAGATTTTGGTTACAATCATTTCAAATCACTTAAAAACATTTTCCTCTGTTTGGCAATAACTCTGAAAAACTTTTCATTGACACTCTGCCATATTTTTGTTTGTAAAAAATAACTTGTTGAAAAATTGGACAAGTAATTTCGGATTTAATCAGAGAAAATTAGAATTAATTTCACATTACAATATACAATGGA